TTGATAAAAAGAGTAGAACCATTCGATTTTTATATTGTGTTTTACATTGTGATAAACAATTTCTGTCTAATTCTATTCGAGTACTGATAAAGGAGAAGAATATTGATATTCATCGAGAACGTCTTCAACCGACATCTATTTCGTTCTCTTCTATCTCGAACAATACGACAACACTTATTAGTGAATCTCGAAATCAATTGCAAATTGTTACAAATTTATTGGATCATTCAACTGGTGAACGTAATTCTTCTATTATTAATCAAACAACAGAACCAACGACTTCAACTCATGGTTCTCATTCAAGTGTAGATATGGCTTCTAATACAAATCAGTAAGTTATATCTTTCTAATTCATTTATTTCTTGGCAATTTTTTTTCTTATATAGATTCAACCATAACAACGAGAACGTGTTGCCATCTGATTGTAGTTCTCAACCTCAAACAAGAAAGAAACAAAAACGTAAACAAAATTTAAATGAAGAAGAACAGGATGACACATTGATGAACGATGCTCCACAAGATAATGTTGAATCTTCTCAAAGTCGTCTTCCACTTACTATTATGACAAATTCTACTGTTGCATTACTACAAACAAAACGTAAACGACGAACTTAATCTCAATGTCTTATATGTTCAAGTAATTGATCAAATAACTTTTGTCATTCTTTCTTCATCTCAAACAATATTGTTTCACACATGATCTGTTTCTTTCGTTATTTTAATTCTTTATTTTTTCTTATTCATATCAAATACAATTAAATCTAAAAGTATCAAATCAAACTAAATATAATATTATTAATATCTATCCAATTAGAGAGAAAGAATCAAACATCGTAAACGCAAAGATCTGAAAATCATTTCTACTGTCTTTTTTTCTGCCTTCTTGGTCATTGTTTTTCTCATCTATATAATTCAATCTGTATCAAATGTTCAATAACTCGATAGGTACGTATTGTTGGAACATATTTTTCCTTAATGAATTATTAGGTTGTATGATACGTTAGTTCCTGGAACATTGGTCGACAAAATAGGTAAAATATAAGTTTTAGATTTTTTTTGTTATTATTGTATTTAGCATTTACTTATTTAATTCAAGCAGTATCACAACTGAATAGCATGATGTCGATATTTGATTTTTGTCAACTTTATTGTCTTTTTTGTGCATTATTCATTCAATATTAACTTTATCAAGAAATGGATCGGTATTTTCATTATTGATTTCTTTCCAGTTTTTTCCAGCTGGTTTATTCATTTCAATGATATCAATTATTGAACAAAGTCACAAACCAGTCCTAAATTATTTATTTCCATTAATAGCAACCAATGAACAACGTGGTGAGTGATATATCTTCTTCAAATTTTCTTTTTTTTTCTTTCTTTTATATTTAGTCATTCGGTTCGAACAACAACATCAATTGACTTATGTGATATTGATATTTATGTCTTTACTGATTATTTTCAATTTACTGATTGTTCATTCAGTATGAAGTTATTCAAACAGTGGATCACATTTTAAATAATGATGCCGCTTCCTTTGTCTCTGTCAGTTTTCAATCTACATGGTATCAATTATTTAGCAAAATAACGAGTGGAAGATTAATTATTTATTTTCAATGATATCAAACAATGAATAATCTGGTGAATGATATTTCATTTTCAAATTCTTTTTTTTTCTTTTATATTTTAGTTTTTCCATTCAAAAAATATCATTAATTGAATTATGTATTGTTATAATCTTCTTGATTTCGAGTGGAATCAGTTATATATTATTATCAATTTAACATCAACTGCATCCAAAGATGAACCACATGGTGAGTGATGTTTTCTTTTTTTATTTTCTTTCGTAAATCTATACTCTCATTTCATCGATACATATTATTGAGCGATATAACGAGCGAGTTATTTCATTAGTAGTTCTTTTTATTCTTCTGCGAGTTGCTAAACTATAAATCCAATATGCTGCCTCATTCATGTATAATATTTTTGTTATCTTTTCTCTATTCGTATGAGTTTATCTTCATTGTCCAGTTAGCCTCATTTCTTTTAATAAGTAATTTACTAATATAATATTTCAGATATTCGTTGCGAACAAAAATGAAATACATTTCCTTCTTATCTTTTCTTTCGATCTCATATCCTATTTTATGGTCGCATTCACTAAAATGGGATATTTCTTTTCTTCTGTAAAACTGGTGAGTGACATAGACGTTCTTCCATCAAATGCTTTATTTAATAAAGTAATCATCGTTCTTCCTACAAATTTTTCTAGTTATTGAGACTAAATTTTCTTTCTACATTTGTGCTTCGCACGATTTCTTTCTGTCCATGCATGTGTTAGACAGCATTGAACACAATAACACTCTCACCCAATCTTATACTCATCTTTTGTGCCAATTTCGCTTATTTCTCGTTGCTTTTTCTCCACTTCTAATACGTACATAGAAGTTTTGGTGACTAATCCTTCGAATATGCGACTAATATCTTCAGTTCCTATAGATACGTTATACCAAATGTTGAACGTCAAAGCATTTCTCAATTACCATATTTGCGTTTCCTATTTGAGCCCTAGTTTGAATAATGTCCTTTTCTAATTCACAAGTAATTATTACTCTATTCGCTTGTCCTATGTTTCCACTGTTGTCTATTTTTTATTTTCTTTCATTTCTTACCATAAGTGCTCCCGGCGCGTTTCAAAAATCGCTGTGATAGTTGATCCTTTCGCATTAGCCATTTAAGAGTCAGCGAGATTGATTCATCAATTGAAATATTTGTTGATGAACCTTTTAGAATCTGATGAGGGTCATTAGCTATCTGCAATACCCTTTGATTAACGTTTTGATCGTT